CAATTGTGATTGGCTGCTGCGGCTGTCACTCAAACAGCCAGTTTTCTTCCATTTGCAGTAAGCTAGGTTGTTCGCTCACGATTCCAGTGTACCAGTATTTGCTTCACTTGCTGCAAACACAAGTGAAACACGATACAGCCAATGTGTCGTATCCATTAACGGAATACACACTGTTTCATGTGGTGACTGTTCAATATTTCCCTCCCCAGAATAAGTTACAGCTACAGCAGATTTACTCCCATTTCAAAACGTTAGCCACCTTTCATCACCTCAGTGTCTGTTACAAATATTGTATCCGCATATTAATTTTGTAAACGTTTGGGTTACATTTCTAGACTTTAATAAAATGTAAAAAAATAAATAATAATAAAATACATCAACCAGGCCCATGTCCAAAACATGTTTATTACTAAATTTTGATGACAACATCAACAATGACAAGGGCAACAGAAAAAGGCGGCTATTTCCTTAAAAATGTAAATCATAATCATGGAAAGGTGATGAAAATATGTAGATTTCAGAAGAAAAAAAACAACAACTTTTTTCATAAGGCAAAAACTGATGATTAATTCATTTTTTTTTTTAAAAAAATAAGGCTGGAAAAGATGTCCACATGCCCTTACCAGATGAATTTACAGTTGGGTCCATAATTTGTTGTGGCAAGTTTTAGTGAACTAGTTTCATCCCTGTACAGTTTATGCAGACTTTCAATTTTAATTCAGCTGGGTTTACAAGGATTTTGCATTAAATGTTTAGGAATTTTTATACACATTTTTATGTTTATTTTCAGAGGCCAAATGGACACAATAGTAAAGCTTTAAATATAATGATTGTTTTTAATACTTGGATGAAAATAATTTGGAATCACCCTTATGAAGTCTAGAATCATCACCGAATGGTATAAGTTCCTTTTCGTCAGATGCCCTGCCTTCAGTTTTGTCTACAGTAACTAGAAGTCATGCTCAGGTGATTGGTTTGGTCATTGAACAATATTTCCTTTCTTTTACTTTGCTTTGGGTCTTTATCCATTAGCACTGTGAAGCATTTTTCAGTCAGTTTTGCAAAACATGGCTGAATCTGAGCACAGAGTACAGCCCAGTACACTGCAGAATTCATCCTGGCACTTCTATCAGCAGTGACATAATGAGTAAGAACTGCTGACCTGGTTCCACTGACCACTATACACACCCATACCATAGCGCTTTCTCACCACGCTCCATACATTTCTCTTCTTGTCAGTCTGGTACAGTCTAATCTTGCTGACATCTGTCTAAAGATTTTTTTCCAGCACTCTTTTATATGTTTCTGACAAAGTCTAAACCTAAACTCTCTGTATTTCCATTCATGAAGGCGTCTCTTGATTGTCGACCTTGACAGTGGTATGCCTGAATCCTCGAGAGTCTTCTCGACTTGATTAGATGTTGTGAAATTTTTTTTCCGTTCCAGCGATCACATTTTTTTCATTCCACACTTTAGTTCTCTTCTGTGGTATTCCAGGACATTTGGTGTTGCTTAGTTAGCCAGTGCATTCCTCCTGTTGATTTGGCCACCCCTAAAGGTTTTGCTGTCTCTCCGATAGGTTTATTTTGTTTGTTTAGCCTAATGATGGCCTCCCTCATATGCACTGACATTCCTTTGGGCCTCATGAATAGAATTACAGTGAAAAAAAATCAACTTCAGATATTACATTGGCATGAAATTAATGAGGGAACAGCAAGTGTTCAACTACTTTTCAGCCTCTGAAAATGGGAGACTGTGTATAAAAACGACTTTATGAAAACCTCTTGAATTAAAGCTAAGCTAAGCTGTAAAGTCTGCAATTCAGTCATATGTTGACTGGTTGAGTGCAAAGCCAGTGTGGTGGTGTAAAAAAGCAAATCTACAAAAAAAAATTTCTTCATCCAACAAATTATGGATCTGACTGTAAATATCTGAAATGATGATTAATAATGCTACAGCAATCTGGAAACAAAAGTACATCCTATGGAAATTGTTGTTTTTTTATTTGACTTGGCTCAAGCTCATATTTTAACCACTTTTATCCTCAGCAATGCTTGAAGCCTGGGTTGCTTTTTTACTTTGGGTCATTATCCATTTGCACTGTGAAGTATTTTCCAATCAGTTTTGCAAAATTTGGTTGAATCTGAGCACAAAGTATAGCCTTGTAGACACAAGTGCTTTAAAATAGTGTCTACACAACATATAATATACTTTATCACAACCACAGGGATTTTTTGGTAATATTTAAAAAAGTAATTGGCCTCTAATTCAGTAGAAATGATGTCTTGTATAGTTGCCCATCACTCTCTGACATAGGTTTACTGGAAATTTTGGCCACTCTTTAATTCACAGTTTCTTCAGTTGCAAAATGTTTGAGGGTTTTCCTGGATGGATGCGCTGCCTCGTTCAAATTCAACCACAACATTTTATTGTGTTCCAGTCCATATTCCTCAGTTTCATCTATAAGTCATAGCTTGGTGTATTTTAAGTGTGTTTAGGTTCATCATTCTGTTAAAAAGCCAACTTGTGGTTCAACCTCAAGTTTCACAAAAAGGATTTAACGTGATCTTTCAGATCATTTCACTGTGAGCTGCCCAGTCATCAAGGCAGGCAAAAAAAAACACATTTCCAACATCATCCTTCACAGTCGGCATGTGGCCCGCCTGAAACACTGTCTTTGGTCTGCGCCTGTCATGTCTACTTTTACTCTGGCGAGACGTCTTTGTCCACAGCACATGATTCCACAAAGACATGTCTTTGCTTATATTTTGACAATTTGTAGTTTTGCACTGAGGTTTTACAGACAGAAAACGTTTATTCCAATCATTCAGGTAAAATTTGTACAATATCCGATTATAGAGCCATGCACTGTGAAAACCAGCAGTTGCAAAAATGACCTGCAGATTCCAGTGTTACATTTTGGCTCTTGACATGTTTTTCAGTCTGCTGCGGGGCGGATTTTTCCACAGGTTTGGGCCCCACTTGACAGTAGTTAGAATTTAAGCCACTTGTTGATGATTTTCTTTACAATGTGCTGCTATTAGCATTACAGGTAAATCTTTAACAAGTACACGCAAATTCCACGTTGTCACATACTGTACTCTTTTGTCATTACTCTTTTTGATAAAGACAATCAGCCTATTACTGTTACTTTCAATATGGTTGTCAACTTTGGTAAAAAGGCACATTTTTTTAAAAACAAAAATAACTAGAATTATTTATAAATTATCTTGGTGTTAAATTCTGAATGTTTGATTGTCTCGATCATAGCCTTAAAAGTCAGAAATTACTATGAAGCTTTTTTGTAATGCATATACACTTAAAAAAAAGAAGAAGCTGTCAACATGAGTGCAACATGTCTTGGGTGTTTTAGCCAAATCTCCTGGATGAACTCATGACTCTCTTTTCTTACCCACTTCTCATGGATCAAAGAAGCTTGATGTTCATGCTGGCTCAGGATTTAAAATGATGCCTACTATTCAGAAGACCAGCAGTTGAGTCCTTAACTATTTTTACAATCTGTGTGTCTACAAGTGTCTTTGGGCAAGATCCTTAATGCTTAATTGCCCCAGATGTGTTCATGAAAATAGGTCTATTCATAACTAAACTGGGTGAAGAGAGAACATGGAGAAGATGTTAAGTTGACTGGATGGAAAAGCTACACTGACAAAGGATGTTGTGAAGGAGGACATGTGACAGGGGGATGCTAAAGACAGGGTGAGACGGAGGGAGATGATCCGCTGTGGCGACCCCTAAGGGAGCAAGAATAAGGAGGAGGTCACATTACTGCTGGGAAACTCAGCTTGTGGTTCGGTGTTGGCTAACTAGCTTGTTATTTAGATTAGTTACGTATAAGCTTATACATTAACCAGATTCTTGGCGGGATGGTGGTGCAGTGTTAGCACAGTTCTTCAAGAAAAGTTTGAACCTTCTCGTCCAAAGTTCAAAGACATGCGTGTCAGGTTAATTGGTAATTCTGAAGCATTTGTAGGTGTGCATATAAATCGGTGAGTGTCTCTGTGTGGTAGCTTTTCCAGCTACCACCCTGCCTCCCCTAGGCTAATGGTTAAAAAATGTATGGATGGGTGGATGGTTAGACAGCTGCATGAATTGACAGGGTGTTCCGGCATTGGATAACTGAGCCAAGGGTAAAGGGATTCATGCATGTAAGTAAAAAACATTGAGACTACAGGACCACAGGAGCAACATGTCTTCTCACTATGAGATATATGATTCACAAAATATGGCTAACTCCAAAGACCCTTCGTTATTCATATACTGTCATAATAAATATGTCAATGCACTTATCTGGTGTTTTACAGTAGAAATGAAGACAAAAACAGTAAAGTTGTAAACTGACTTCCCTGCTACCAAAAACATAAAACTCCAGAGTAAAACCTCTGAAAATGAACCAGTGGTTCTGCAGTAAAACTACTTCCTAAAAGGGAAACGATGCTTTTAATAGAAAATCTGGAATTTTCCAAGTGTGCAATGGGATTTTTTTGGATGGATGGCACTAGAGAGACAAACACAAATTTTGGTGCTTCCATCGACTTTTCAAAGATTGTTACACTGAAGTACAGCATCATTAATTAATTTAATAGAGCTTGGAGATGATGATGGGTGAATTTGTAAAGACTGTTGCTTTAGGGTAATGAATGAAGAATTGTTTTTATAACTCAAAAGGTTTATTACTGACAGCACTGATAATGCACAATTTAGACCATGGCAATTGATATCAGTAAACTGACATGTTAACATGAAGGGCACAATAGAAATAACAAATATGGTTAAAATGTTATTAGCAATGCAAAGAAAGGGAGATTAACGTTACAATAGCGGGGATTTAAAAAAAAAAAAAAAAAAGTAACCGCCCACCTTCAAATCACTTTGACCTCACTTCTGTCAGGTAATTACTATTAGGTAAATTTTTTTCCTTAATTATTACCTGCTTATTTATGGTATTTAGCTACCATGTGATAAACCACCAGAACTTGCACTTTATATCAAACATCTTTTATTAGACAATAAGAAAATGCAAATGCTTAACAACAGAAGTCACCCTATTCAACCAAAGTCTTCAGCATGCTATATAAACTCAAAGCTCACACAAAGTCAAAACCCTTCAAGTGCTTGTTATTGTCTTCTACACAGTTTTCTCTTCACAATCATGTTCTGGAGAAGTGAAACAACTTGACTCAAGCTTTTAAATTTCACACAACACAAATATAATACAATTAACTCATTACTTGTTTATTGTATGATACAAAACACCTTTAAAAAAAGACTAAAGGACATAAACTGAGTACATAAAGTGAAATGTAAAGCTCCAGTCGCTAAGATCAATATGACGCAAAGGCAATGCTATTGCACACAACACTGAATTCATGTGGAGCCTCAGTGCTCTTTTGGTGATGCATCTTCAACTTCCATTCTGCTTTATGTACTCTAGTCTTATTTTACAGCACCACACTTTTCTCAGTTTATTCTACTCCTTGGTGACGCTGGTCTTTTCTTGGGTGGTCTTGGGTCGTTTAGATTCTGGAGGCTGGCACACAGGATCAGTGGGAGGAGAAGGACGATCTGGTGAAATAAAAAGAAGGTTACACGTCATAGCCTGTTTCTGTCTGATCTTCTGCTGCGTGTACAGTCATGCGAAAAACAACATTTCCCCAGTCCTGTGAAAAAAACGTAAGCTCACCTTTACTGCTTGCATAGGAATTAAGAGGCTAAGTAGTAGCCAGGTAATTCCAATCAAATGTACCAAATCATTTTTCAGCAAGTGTGAGCACAAGTTCTAGCAGTTTGCTGGTCTGGAGGATTCAGATATGTGTTAACGCAATGCCACAATCTTCCTCGTACCGCAGCAAATTCAACTCAAGACTATGCAATGCTCAAGAGCTACGTCTCAGACTTATGACAATGCAATTAAAAAAGACTGATTTGGAATGAAACAATGAAAATGAGCCTCTTCTCTCTAAAAAGAACATGATACCTAAAGTTTGATTTGACAATAATGGAGATGTTTGGTGAAAGCACAGCATATCAGCGTAAACACCTTGTGCAAACTGTGAACCACGGTGTTCGAGGGGTAGTGATTTGGGCTTCTTTGGCACCCCCATGCAGGGCTCGCAAAATCCGGGGGGCTGAGATAGATTTTGGTCGCTAGCCCTGGGACGTCGGGCTAGCGATTTTGCGAGCCCTGCCATGATCTGCTACTAGAAAGCAGGACTTTGGCGTTAATTCTGGGTTTTCTGCACTGCATGATGTTTTGGGGGGTTTTGTACATTAAACACCATCAGGGCTGAAGGTGCAAGAATAAAAAAATAAAATAAAAAAACAACGCTGAAAATAAATAAATAAATCTGAACATTAATTAATGAAATACTCAATTATGAGCCCATCAGATTCTCCCATGTCTTAATGATAGAGTTGTGAAATTTAAATAACTGTTTAGGGCTCTGTAGCACATCATGGTCACCATGGAAACGCAAACCACATTTGCGACTAAAAACAGACCTGCAATACAAATGCATTTAGGTTCGGTGTGTGAATAAAAAGTTTGACATTAAGCACATGCACACTGATACCACAACAGCAGCAGAGATAATGATGGTGGCCCAGTTTAATGTGGAGCTCGAGTCTGTTTACACACTGCAAAGAGGTGGAGCTTCTTTTGAATATTTATTATTGCTCGTTAATAAGAGAAACGCTTCAGTGGAAGATCTACGTCATAATTTACGCCTTCCACGCCAATCAAATGGTGTCGACCTAACGTGTAGGCACATTTCTTGGGAGGTTACCTGGAAGGTTACAGTGCAGGGTTAAGTGCATTCTGTTTCATGCATATAACCTTTTCATATTTTTCTAAAATTATAGTTCCTTGTAAAAGCAGCAAAATAATCAGTGTGACTGATCATAACTACATTGAAAAACTCCCTGATTTGGGAGTTGATAACCAGCTTTGTATAACTGAATGTTTGGGTAAATCCCGTTAACAAAAAGATATCCTGGGTATATTGAACTTGTTTCATAGTACACTGACCTGGGCACCTTGCAGTCATCGAGTCAACCATGAACTCCTCTGTATACCAAAGCATCAAATGTGAGGCCTTGTGTCTCACATCTAAAGCTTGGCTAAAAGGCTTCGTGCAAAAGGACAAAGATCCTAAGCACAGCTCAATGGTCCAGTCAGTCGTAACTACTTTAAGAGAGATATGCATAAATAAATTCCTGAAAACTTCAGTGAACTGAAGCAACATAAAGAAGAATGGGCTAAAATGTATCAAACAGACCAAAAGTTTAGCACTGAAGAATTAATATAGCCCTTTCAGGTTTGCTTACTTTGATGTTCATCTAATCAAACTATGCTGCTGGCTTGTTTGCAACCTGTCTGACTGCTTTTGTTTCCTGCTTCTTTGAATGCATCTATAGCTATGTCATAGTCAGAGATGTCAGTAAACACAATTTAAGCTACAAAAAGACTCAAGGTGAAATAGATCTTCAAAAATATATATATTTTCTAAGCTCTAGTACAAATCCATAACTTGCTACAAGCTTGCTATAAGAGCGTGTACATAAAGAGGTAATCCAAGTTGGAATTACTAAAATATGGTACTGTAATAAAGGCACAATAACATCCACTGATATAAACATAGGATAAGACAAGTTGTTGCTACTATCACTCAGTCTAGGGAGGGCCACAACAATCCCTGGGTTCTTGCCACCTAAAGCAATAATAATAATTTTGTGTAGTTTGCTGTGAGGGATACAGAAGTTTTCATTTTTAATGATTTTAGTTGAGAAAATCTTACAGCAAGCACTTGAAATGAAAGCGTAGGTTAAAGGAATTTGTGTGAATAATAGTAAGCATCTCACTCGATTCTCCATTATAAAAGTTGATTATCGTGGAAAGTTCAGCATTAAAAAAGACGGCCAAAACCTCACTAACCGTGTTTGGCCTTTTCCGTGGAGGAGAGAGGGCTGAGAAGTGAGCCAACAGCTGGAGACCGCGGTGCAAGGGGAGTCAAAGATACTCTCCTGCAAACAAAGAGAAAAAAGTAGCAATGCTGAAAATACCTCAAAGCAACAAAACGTGTATTTATCGTCTTTTGTTTTGTTGTTGCCCAACAGTGAAAATTAGTCAAACGTTCTAAGTTACAGATGTGAAAAGGGGGGTACACAAAAGCATGCACAGGCCTGCTATTGTCTGCCAGCAGTCTGACAGAGTGATTATTATTTTGTAGTCAGTGGGGGGTCCAACGAATCCCTCATACCAGACAGGGCTTTGTTCACACTGCAGGTGCTGGGCACATATTAACCGACAAAAACCTCACACAGCAAATAGAGCTATTTATATTTCTCTTAACTTATTCAAAAGAAGGCATATTATACACTATAAAGAGCACAGTGTTTCCTTACTTTTCACACTCTGAAAACACAAACTGCATTCAAGGGGGCTAGGAGCGTAGATGTAGTCAATACGAGTCCGGTCAAAGATTTGAATAGATCATATATTTCCATAAATTAGCATATGCTGTAGTTTAGTGCAAACTGCACTCTTCACACGCGCCACGCTGCATCTAAAAAGAAGCTTTAATACTCACAGTGAAGCTTTAACGCTGCTGCTGCACAAACAACACTTATTATCTCTACATTACATGCTTAATGAATAATTCTACTGTGTTTCTAGATCCCTCAAGTGGGTTTCAGCAAGTTTCCCTTTCCTGTAAAATATATTTGAATAATATTCAAAATTGGAGACGAACATCCTCATAACTAATTTTTAGACACAACTCCTAATAAACTGTGGAACATGGATTTGAAAGATGCTTTTGTTTAAAACTTTACTGTCAAAAAAAAACATTCACAAATTATATGTACAAGCATATAAGTACTTTCTGTAAGGAGCTGTTTTTTGATTTCCTTTTTTCCCCCACATACACTTGTGGGACACTTCATTAGGTACACATTGCTAGGACCAACTTGTGCTTTCAGAAAAGGCCTGATACGTGATAGAAGTCACACAGCTGCTGCAGATTTATCAATCATCCGTTCCACCACATACCAAAGGTGCTCAGATTAAACTAAGATCTGTGGACTGTGAAGGCCATTTGAGTAAACTCATGTCAAGTTCAAGAAATTAGTTTGAAACGATGTGAGCTTTGTGACATGGTGCGTTGTCCTGCTGAAAGCAGCCAATTAGAAGTCACTGTGGTCACAACAGAATGGGCATGGTTAGCATCAGTACTAACCAGGTAGGCTGCAGCATATAAACAATGCTCAGTTGCTCTTAAGGACCCAAATATGCCAAGAATATAGGCCTCCACATGATTACACCACAAACACCACCTTGAACCAATGATAAAAGACAGGAATGATCGGTGCTTCCATGTTGTTTACAGCAAACAATCCATCCAAATGACTCAAGGCATATTTTACCAAGCTTCCATTGCTGAATTTTGATCAGCCTGTGTGACCTGTAGCTTCAGTTTCCTGTTCGGAGCAGACAGCAGTGGCAGCTGGTGTGGTTTTCTGCTACTGTAGCCCATCCACTTAAGGTTTAAGGTGTTGTGTATTCAGAGATGCTTGTCTTGATACCTTGTTTGCACAGAGCTTCTATTTGAGTTACTGTTGCCTTCCATTCAACTTGAAGTAAGCTGGTCATTCTCCACTGATCTCTGACATCAACAAGGCAATTTTCACCCAGTTGTTGTGCAGGAAAATCTCAACAGACCAGCAGTTTCTGAAATACTCAAACCAGCCCATTTGGCATAACGACGCCATGTTAAAGACCACTTGAATCCTCTTTCCTCACCATTCTTATGCTTGGTTTGAGCTTTAGTTGTCACTCTCTTGACTGTGTCTACATGTATAAAAGCAGCAGTTGTAAAGTGTCTGTTTATACTAATACCAATATGTACAAGGCTTCCTGAGAGCCTCAGGGAACACACTGTTGTAAACTCTGTTTCAGACTGTTTTTTCTACTTTTGAAACTGTATGATGTCATAGATAACCTTAGTAGTAGATAACCTTAATCTGGTAAATTCAGGCACACGATTCTGTTTTCACAAAAACTTCTGTTTGTAAGAGGCAGACAGAGGAAAGTTGTCTAAGGACAAACGAGCTAAAACAGCTTGTTTCAGACAAATATGGCTTATTGTGAACTGTGAATAATAGTGAAAACCTATTGTCAAAGAGACCAAGTGGAGCCTGAAATGAGTACAATACTTTCCCTTTAAGCAATTAATTTTTTTTTTTTTTTTTTAAATAAAATGACTATTAAACTTTTACATTTTTGAAAGTTGAGGGTGTGAAGCACTTTCTTTTTTAAAGACTGAATGAAACGGCTTTGAATTTCTATTGGCAGCTACACGAGAAAACAACTTGCATACAAAAGAAATAAAAACATACCCGTACTAAGTACATCATTATTTACCCGTTTTACTTTCTGCCACCTGACAGAATCACAAAGACAGCTGCTCTAATATTTACCTCGGAGTGGGCCCTTTTGATGTGGCAGCACTCTTAGGTGTTGCGGGCCCAGGAGTATTGGCACTGTTGAGGACTTTTGGTGTGGATGGAGAGAGGGGGGTTACGCGTGGTTGGGGAGTGGAAGGGGCGCTTGTGCTCCCAGATTTTGAGGACTGAGGTGCTGCAGAGGCCGTGGCTTTAGGAGTAGTGGGCTTTCCCCATCCCTCAAGGGTGTTGAGGGTGATCCTGCGGGGCTGAGGTTTGGAGTTGGCACGAGGGGTGCTCTTCTTCTCCTCAGGGGAGGTTAGAGAGGGGGCGTCTTTGCCCTGGTTAGCTTGGGATGTGGCAGGTGAGGCTGAGGGTGACGGCTGGGATATAGGAGATGAGCCTTTGGCCAATGATGCCTTCTTGCCTTTTTTCTCAACACCACTGCTTGGGACAAAGACCTCCAGGGTGGGTGGCTCTTTCAGTGGAGTGCCCAGCTCCCCAGGAGAGAATGACAGGAAGGAGCAGTAACCGTCTGTGGAGGACACAGCCAGGAAGGAACCATCACGGGACCTGCAAGGGATAAAGTCTGCTTAATGGTAAAACATTTACAGTTTACCATCCACCTCTCTATTTCATGGGCATAAACCCACACATAAAATATCATTTTCAGACTAAGGAATGCTCACAAAGTTACAAGCTTTCAGGTTATTAAATGTAAGACTGACTGTAAGAAATTATTTAAGTTTGATCATGTCTTTAGCAACAAATTAACTGATAACTTCATGTTATCTAAAGCTTATGCTGGACTCTAAGTTCAGGCTAAACTGGGTAGTTTGCAGTATTGTGCTGCAGTGGGTGAACTAACATTTAGTCACTGATAATTTAGCCCATAGATAGCAGCAGAGATGCAGCAAAGGTGGTGGGAGAAGTATAACTTTAAGGAGAAAAATCTTTCAAAATTTTGTTTGTCCATCACATTTGACTAGATATTGATGCACTGAATGTTTTTTCTTCACTCAACTTTCACTCATCAGCACATATAAAACTCTGGCTCCTGTTTCTTCCTGTTAAAAGAGAGTTTTTCCTTCCTACTGTATCTTACAATATAAAGCATCTTCAGGCGAATAACTGAATAGCAGGAGTCATCAATTTGAGCCAGTCATGTTCTTTAGTAACACTCGCCAAATTCCACCTTTATGCTAGCTATATTCTGGGTGAGGAATACATGGCTTATGTATCTGAACGAAGCCTGTCGACAAAGCAAGCACATCTACTGAAGCTCATAAGACAAATTAGGCGCATTTTATTATAAGGCAAATGTTTCACATGGCATCGCTACCCTTTACCCCCCTCTATATTGGCTTCCAAGAGGTGAAAGCTTTCCCTTTATCATGGTGACAAATAAAGGTCTTTTATTCCAATTGCTGCAGCCAACATATAAAAGATGAATTTTGCTGATTTCTGTGGTTTTGATGGCAATGGCATGAAGTTTTGTACTTTATAACCTCAAAGTGTATGTTCTGTGAGTACAGATTATCTGCTTTTATGTATTGCTGTGTTGTTTTGTATTTTCAATTAAAAACCGTCTGTAAGACAAAATATTCCTTTAAGAAAATCAGGCTTTACTCAAAAGAAGTAAATAATATACAGATTTGGCTGACTTTAACAAATAAGTAAATACATATTACTTTTTTGTGTGCACATTATCATATCTTCCTGTAGTCTTTATTAGATGAATGACTATCTTTTGCTTTTGAAAAGTTAAATACAGATACCTGTGCTAAAACAGCTAAAAAGAAAGTTTACCATGTGAGATCACTGAGTGTGTGGTAGTGGATGTTGGACACAAGGCCAAATGGAAGTTTCTGCTGCGTGTCATACAACAGGATTGAATCCTCAGAGGCCACGGCAAACACCATACGGTACGGCAGCTGGAATACGTTGGGAAGAGCCTGGACAATACCGTCTGTAGGGAAGAAATGGGAATGGGAGTGACACGAAGAACACAACACAAGAAAAGAAAACTAGTCCGAAATAATCAGTCTTGCTTGAATGTCCTTGCCTTCTCCTTTTTTTGTCCTCAGTTCAAAGTAGACAGGGCAGCAGCGCACAGCCAGTGTAGCCTTAGATGGGCACGGCAAGTGAGCAACAGGCCTAAAAAACACACAGAAAGATATTTATATACACCGATTATTAAACTTTAACAGACTCTGAATAGGGTGTAAATAAAATAACAGGCCACAAAAGATACCTCTTTAGACCCTTCCTGGAAAAGATGTAGGTGGTATTCATGATGTTTTCTCCTATCTCCACGCATCCAGCTGAGGTTTCAAAGAAGCAGACAACAGCGAGGCAAAATTAGAAAAAAAATGCTGCACTGTTAGAACACAAGATTTCACCAGTAAAAAAAACATGCTTTGTGTTTACCGGGAGCAAGCAGGAATGATCCGTCTGGTGTGAATGAGAGACGGCGAAAGAAAGACCTCATGCTGTCATCGTGGAACATCCTGTACTGCTTCACCTGAAAAGGTCACGTAACAGTTCTAACTCGCTCTGGACAGTTTGGTAGAGCATTTAATTTCTTGTATTTGGTTTTATAAACTTGTTAAAGAGCAGGTTAAGGAATAAGAATAACACAAGCAGGAAAAACCTCAAAACACCTTTTGCAAAGTTAAGAAGAGAGGTATTGTG